TCTTACTTGAGGGCGGAGGGGGGCCATGGGTAATATATATATAACCTTAACACTTGTACCCCCATAATACACTAAAATAAAAAAAATTAAAAATAACCATACACAAAAGGAGACTAGACCACATTACTGAAGAGTGAGACAGCAGACAAGTGAAACGCCCATAAGTAATTCAGATAATGGAGTCATCATCTTTGAATTTCAAAATAACAATACTTGATATGTTTATGAAGTTAAAAGACAATCTTGAGAAATTTGGCATAGAATTAGATATTATTTTTTAAAAAAAATGATCCAGGTGGAAGTTCTACAAATGAAAATTACAATAACCAAAATTAAGAATTCACTGGATGAGTCTAACACCAGATCATGCAACTGAAGAGAGGTTTAGTGAATTGTGGAGAAGTGTGTGCACGTGTGTGTGTGTCTATCAGAAGAAAACATCCATTCTAACGCATGGAAGGAAAAAGGATGGAGGAGTGTGGGATCATGTGGAAAGTTATATACATAATTAAAGGCCCAGAAGAGGATAAAGAGAATTAGGCAGAATCAATATTCTAAGATACAATAGCTAAGAATTTTCCAAAATATACATAGGCACATATTTAAGAATGACTTAATCCTTCATGCTTAAGTGGGATAAACACACACACAAAAAAAAATCACTTAAGGAACATCATGGAAAAACTGCTAAAAATCAAAGATGAAAACAAAATCTTAAAAGCAGCCAGAGACAAAAGACATATTATCTTCAAAAGAGCAACACTAAGACTGAGAGCTGACTTCTTAACTGAAACAGCAGAAGCCATTAGAAAATGGCATGAAACACCTCTTGGACCCTACCTCACATCCTCCTTCCTCATCTTTTATCCACGCACAAGGAAGAAAACACCCCAGGACACTCTTGACCGATGGGCCCAGGAGCCGGGTTATGTGCTCCTCCTTTGCAACCCTCTGGTGGACAAGTGAGGTGCATTCTATGTATTAATAGCTATTCAGAGGGTCTAGCAGGATCAAGCCACAACCATCCATAGAGGTGATCAACTTGATAATATAAGTTTGTATTGGCTTTTCCATCTATTCTCTTTTATTCTTCCCTGTCTCTCCTCTCTGGGATCATTTCCCAAATAAACTACCTACATATAAGCTTTTGTTTCAGGGCCTGCTTTCAGGGAACCCAGGGTAAGAGTAAATATCAGGAGGAGCCCTAGAAAGCAGAACATCCAAATAGGATTCTGAAATGAGTCATTCACTAGTCAGTTGACAAAAAAAAGTGACACTCCTTATGGTAGGTGGTATTGAGATAAACCATGCCATACAATAGATTCTTAATGGTGGTAGATTGAGATAAATGCAGGGGGGAAAGTGAAGTATTAGCTTATTAGCTGTTTATGTTTTTGAATTTATATTGTACTTCAGTTTTTCTAAGTTTAAGAAAAATTTTTCGGTAGATGAAAAACACCAGAAGAAATAAAACCAGCCCTGATGCAAAAGAAAATGCAATATAAACTAAATAAGAAATTGCAGACATGAGAAAAACACAGACCAGGAATTTTAAAACTCAAAATAGAAATTGACAAACTAGAACTTAGAAAGTGGGAAACTGTGTTTTGGAAAGACATTGAAGAAAAGGAAATAACTTTGAAATGACTAAATTTTAAGGTACATAAGAGAAAAGTATGACTGAAAGTAGACTAAGGAAGATAGTGGATAGAAATGAAAGAGGCCAAGAAAATGAAATTAAAGAGGTAGAATCAGTGAGAAAATGATATTTAATAGATATAGTCAACAGACATAAGAGTAATTGGAGATGTCAAAGTGAAAAACAAAACAATAAAATAAAACTAATATATAAAACTATAATTCCAGAAAGTTTTCCTGAAATAAAAGACCTGAATCTACATATTGAACAGGCTCACCATGCAGGAAAATTACTTTATGTTCTGAAACATAACCTACTAAAACTACTAGACCTTATAGTTAAAGCAAAAAATAATCCTCTGGTACTCTAATCAAGATATTTGTAAAGAAAATAAAATTAGGTTGACATGAGCTTCCCTAAGAGCAACTTACAAAGCAAGACAGTAGTGAAACAATCTTGTCAAAAAATTCAAAGTGTAAACTAAGGATGTTTCATCCAATTCAACTATCCTTTAAATATCAAGGGTATAAAAAAAGTTTTATTATGAAATTAATATAACATAAAATTAATTGTTTTAAAGCAAACAATTCAGTTGCATTTAGTTCATTCAAAATGTTGTGCAACCACCAACTCTATCTAGTTCCAAAACATTTCCATCACTTCATAATAAAACCCCATGCACATTAAGAATTTACTTCCTATACGGCCTCTCCCCTGGCCCTTGACAACCACCAACCTACTTTCTGTTTCTATGGATTTAGCTGTTCTAGATATTTCATACGCGTGGACTCATACAATATATGACCTTTTGTGTATGGCTTCTTTCACTTAGCATAATGTTTTCAAGGTTCACCCACATTGTAGCATGTATTAGTACTTCATTCTTTTTTATGACTGAATAATATTTCATTGTATGGATATACCACAATTTGTTTATTCATATGCTGATGGACATTCGGGTTGTTTCTACCTTTGGGCTGTTGTGAATAGTGTTGCTATGAATATTTTGGCACAAGGATTTGTTTGAGTACCTGTTTTCAGTTCTTTTGAGTATGTATCTAGAAGTGGAATTGCTGGGTCATGTGACAATTTTATCTTTAACTTTTTGAGGAACCACAAAACTGTTTTACATAACAGTTGAACCATTTTACATTCCCACATGTATGAGGGCTCTAATTTCTCCACATCCTTGCAACACTTGTTATTGTCTGTTTGTTTGTTTTAAGTAGCCAGTCCCATGAGTGTGAAGTGGTATCACACGTTTGAATTGTATTTTCCTAATGACTAATGATGTTGAACATCTTTTCATGTTTTTGTTAATAGAAAAAGAATTTTTAAAAATCAATTTTAAACATGAAAAGATTCAGGGTATATTATAATAATAAGTCTTTCCTGAAGAATTTGCTAGAAGATAACCTTCATCCAACTAGCAGATGAATGAGGAAACTATTAAAAGGACTGGTGGTGAGTATTAACTGTATTTAACTATATATATTAAGCAAACCAAAGGTGGAGATAAGGGTGGAAGAAAAGATTGTAGTTCTGTGCTACAACTGCAAAGTAGAAATAACACAAATTTTTATAATGAGAGGAAAAAGAAAAAAGAATTGGGAAAGTAGAATATATTCATTGCTCTTCACATAGATTATAGGTGATAGTCAAAGGTATCATTTAAAGCAGATAAACCATATAGTAAAAGCCTAAGTAAAGAAAATGTGGGCATTATATAAATATATTAGTGGAAAGATAACTACTAAAACAAAAACACAAATCATTCTAATCGACAACTTTTAATTAATCTTTGCTTTGCTTTTTACCAAAGAAAACAGACTGCAGAGTGAAAAACACATGGTAAATATAAGATACACATTAAATATCCTACAAAATAATAGAACAGAGTTAAGACCAAGCATTTAATTTGTAGCAATAAATGTAAATGTTTTTAACTAACTTATGAGAAGATAAAAGATTTTCAGATAGTCCTACAAGGCAAAATTCAACTCTATACTGTAAAAGACACTCCCAAAACAGGAGTGTCCAGGCAAATGCACATAAAGAAGGCAGAGACTGTGAACTTGATATCTGACAAGATGAAATATTCATGGGTGCAAAAAGTGCTTAATGAGACAAAGATGGACTCTTTATACTACTAAAGGCCATAATTCATAATGAAAACATAAAAGCTATGAATAATCATGCATCAAATAACATAGCAGCAACCTTCACAAATCATAAACACGGGTGATAAGAAGAGAAAAATATGGGCCGAGCGCCTATAATCCTAACACTCTGGGAGGCCGCGGCGAGAGGATCATTTGAGCTCAGGAGTTAGAGACCAGCCTGAGCAAGAACGAGACCCCATCTCTACTAAAAATAGAAAGAAATTATCTAGACAGCTAAAAATATATAGAAAAAAGTAGCCGGGCATGGTAGCGCATGCCTATAGTCCCAGCTACTTGGGAGACTGAGGCAGAAGGATTGCTTGAGTCCAGGAGTTTGAGGTTGCTGTGAGCTAGGCTGACACCATGGCACTCTAGCCCAGGAAACAGAGTGGGACTCTGTCTCAAAAAAAAAAAGGAGAAACATATGGAGGTGCATTAATTAGAGGAGATGGTAAGATCCAGTCTCAGTTCAAGACAGGAGAAATGGGCAAAAAAAAAAAAATATATATATATATATATATACACATATATATACATATATATGTATATGAATATAGAAAACATAATCCCAAGGTAAATCTTAGGAATATATATTGAACTCTTCAGTCTTATCAAAGAATATACCTTCTTTTCAAATACATGAAAATTAACCATATGTGAGGTCACCAAGAAAACTGCAGTAAGTTCTATTAAGTAGAAATAAAGCAAAGAAACAACATTGTTTTATCACAATGCAACAAAACTGGAAATAAATAAAATCAAAAGGTAAGAGGTCTTTTTCACCAGGAAATTTAAAAAATTATTAAACAACTCTTTAGACAAAAGGAAAATATAAATTAAAATTATACAATTTCTTTCAAAAATAATGATTATGAAAGCACTATGTATCAAAATCTTTGGCATACAGTTAAGGCAGAGGTTTAAGTCACACGCAGTGGCATGTATCTATAATCCCAGCTACTCAGGAGGCTGAAGTGGAAGGATTGTTTGAGCCCAGGAATTCAAGACCAGCCTGGACAACATGAGCAAGACCTCATCTCAAAAAAAAAAAAAAAAAAAAAAAAAAAAAAAAAAAAAATAAAAATGAAAAAGCTAAGGTTAAAGAAAAATACATAAATATTTAGAAAAATAAAAATGGAAATGTGACATGAATGAATTAAATATATAATTAAATATCTGAAATAATAATTAAATATCTGAAAAGTTAGAAAAGGAAGAAAAAGTAAATATGATGAAAGTAGAGGGAAGGAAATAATAAAGATAAAAGCAAAAGTTAAGTTAAAACCAAATAGTAGAAGGAGTAGATAAAAAATAGTTCTTTGAAATAACTAACAAAGTAGATCTAATCATTACAAAAGAAACCAAAACACAAATTAAAACATGAGAATGGGAGAGTAACCTCTGACTCAGGGCATTCTGAAATATCATGTGTCTAAGTTGTATTAATACAATCCCATGCAAATACATTTGAATATCTGGATGAAATGGTTAATGTTCTAGAAAATATAGCTTACCAAAACTGACCGCAGTAGAGAAAGAAAATCTAAAAGACCAAATTTCCATAGAGGATAGAAAGTTATAAACTAATCCCAAAAAAGCACCAGGCCCAGATGGTTTTATAGGAAAACTCTAATGGGCCTTTAAAGATTAGATAATTTTAATATAATTCAAATTGCTCCAGAGATATAAAAAGAAGGAACATTTCTATAATCTTTTATAATAATAAAGTGAATATATCATTGATTTATATACCCAATAAATGCTGCATTCACAAACTCAAAAGAAAGTTGTAGACTATCTCACTTATAAATAAAAAATCCTAAATAATATACTAGCAAGCAGAATTGAACACCACATTAAAAATATAATACATCATGATTAAGAAGTGTTTCTTTTAGGAATGTGAACAGTGTGGCCCAGAAAGTCTAGAAACAGACCCAAACACATATAAGAAACTGGAAAGGTAGCATATGAAATTAGTAGGCAGAAGTAGACTCCTCAATAATGGTGTGAGAACCACTAAAAAGACACCTAGAAAAAAATTAATTGGATCCCTACCTCATAACTTAAAGCAAAATAAATTTTATAAAAACTGGCATATAAAAAATGAAACATAAAAACACTAAAAGTAAACAAATAATTATTTGCACTCTCAAGTGGGGATGGTTTAAGTCTGACACAAAATATAGAGGCTATAAAATAAAATAGTAATATTTGACAACACTAAAATGAAAGCTTCTTAATAGCAAATATGTATATATAAAATCAAAAGACAAATTAAAAATTGCTAAAAATGGGACAAAGGCTAATTTTATTAATACATGAAGAGCTCCTAAAGAAAACAACAATTAGAAAAAGAACGACAACCCACCCACAGAAAAATGGGTAAAGGATTTACAAAACAAAAAATTTACAAAAAGTAAACTTCAGATGACTTGAAGTGAATATGACAATAATATTGAATGTTATGATATTGATTGATGATACTAAATATGGAAAAGATGCTTAACATGCTCATAATAAGAAAAACATAGATTAAATCCACAATAATATATAATTTTCATCTACCTGACTAACAAGATCAAAAAATGGTGTTAGCAACAGCTGTGGGGAAGCAGGCATACTCAGACATTGCTGGTGAGAGGGTAATTACCTACAAACACTATGGAAATCAATTTGAAAATTCTATTAAAATAAAAAACAAACTTATCTTTCAATCCAACGATGCTACCTCTAAGAATTTATCCCAAAGACATACTTGAAAATGTATGTCTTGAAAATGTATGTAAGAAATGATATTTGGACAAGGTTATTGTTACAGCATCCTTTGAAAAAGCAAAAATTGGTAACACTTAAATGTTCAATAGGGAAATAATAGTCAAATAAATTATGTAACAGTCATGAAATTGAATACTATGTAGCTATTTAAAAGAAGGAGTCAACCTTAAATTTGCTGATATGGAATAATCTCCAAGGTACATTTTGTCTGCTTGCTTTTGGCTTAAAACAACAGAAATTTATTCTCTCACAGTTCTGGAGGCTAGGAGTCCGAAATTGAGCTGTTGGCAGGGCTACGTTTCCTCTGAAGGACTGGGGAAGGATCTGTTCCGTGCCTCCCTTTCAGCTTCTGGAAATTGTTGGTAAGTCCTTTGCATTCCTTGGCTTGGAGACTCAGCACTCCAGTCTACCTCTGTCTTCATAGGGCATTCTCCTATCTGTGTCTCTGTGTCTCCAAGATACATTTTTAAGTAAAAAAAGTAAAGAATAGTGTATGGTATATGCAGTAAATTATGTAAAAACACATGTGCATGTGCTTGAATATATTAATAGATAAAATATCTTTGGAAACATACCAAGTTGGTAAGTGTTAGCATCTGGGAAAAGGAACTGGGTAGGTAGGGGAAGAAGTGGAAGAAAAACTTACTTTTTCCTGTATTTCCATTTATACCTTTCCTATAGCTTTTTATTGAAATATATTTCACATACCATGAAAATTATCCATTTAAAGCATACAGTTCAGTGGTTTATAATGTATTTACAGACTTCTGCGACCATCACCAAAATCTAATTTTAGAACATTGTCAACATCCCAAAAATAAACCATAAACACATTAGCAGTCATTCTCCATCCCCAGATCCCAAGCCCCAGCCCCAGGTAATCATTAATCTACTTTCTGTTTCTATGAACTTGCCTACTCTGGACATTTCATATATGTAGAATCATATAATATGTGGGTTTGTGACAAAATTCTTTCACTTAGCTTAATGATTTCAAGGTTCGTTCGTGTTGTAACATACATCAGTATTTCATTTATTATGGCTTAATTTTCCATTATAGGAATATATCACAATCTGCTTATTCATTCATCAGTTGATAGACATTTAGGTTTTTTCTACTTTGGGGGCATTTTCACAAAGCTGATATGAACGCTTGTGTACAAATAATGTGTTTTCATTACTATTGGGTACATAGCTAGGAGTGAAATTTCTGGGATATATTGTAGCTATGTGTTTGACTTTTGGGGGAGCTGTCAAACAGTTTTCCAAAGTGGCTGTGTCATTTCCCAATTATACATTTTGAATTTTAAACCATGTTCTAGTATTACCTATTCAAGAAAATCAATAAAATATTTTAAATAATAAATTAGAACTATACTCGTTGACTAGGAGTGATTTCCATTGTGTATTATGATCTAAAGCAAGTACTATAAAGAGAAATATATGCAATGATATAATCAATAGTATGACCATACTTTGTAAATTGAACACCAGAAAACTTGTGCACGTGCATGCATATGCATTTTGTATCTGTTGTAAAGGCTTTTGGATACAAGATAGTAGTAAACCACACTGACAGTGGTATAAACAAATTGGGGTTTATTTTTCCTCCTTGACTGGTGGTCTGAAGATAGTTTCTAGCATTGGTGCAGCAGCTCAGTAGGGCCCTGAAGGATTCATATTCTTTTCATATTTCTACTCACCAGCTTTTATGTGTTGGATTGTCATTTCATGGCCACAAGGTGCCTACAGCACCTATAGACATTATATATACATTCTAAGCAGGAAGAAGTGCAAAGGGCAAAAGACCCTACTAAATGAATCAGCAAAAGTTTTCTTGGAAGTTTCACTCATCTAACTTCCACTAACATCTCATTGGCCAAAACTGGGTCACAGGGCTACCACTAGCTGCAAAGCAGACTAGGAAATACGGGGAAAGGACTATCATTCTTGCCTTGAACCATTCATGACCCATTGATAGAATTAAGCACATTGCATTGCAAATAAGAATTCTATGAGCAAGGAGAATGTATAATGGGTGTCACATGGTTTCTCAATGGCTAACTATCCTCCAAGGTCTCCGGCTTTGCTTTCCCAGTCTGATCATTGTGTTTCCTCCAAAATCTGAGAGTGAATCAGGGGCAGAGAATCTAAATTTGTTTTGGATAATACAACCCGAGCAGATGTGGGATACATGAGGTGTTTCTAGGGGCCCACCTCCCATCCCCTCTGCCACATCTCAGATTCCAGCTGTGGTTTTGATGGCCAATTCTACAAAGGCTTCAACTCACTTCACTCTAACATCATTTTGCTTCAAGTATATACTGTCTTCCGTGCTTTCTGCTCTTAGACTTCCCTGAATCTGTGCACACCAGTAGGAGTTTACTTAGCCCAAACACATGCTACAGCAAGCTATTACATGATGGAAATGGGACATTCAGAATCCAGTCCAACAGCCCAATCCAGAGAGCAATCCAGAGAACACTAGTAGGATCCACAAACAGATGGCTCACCGCCTGACTGTGTTAGACCAATGCTGTTTCCTCTACTCACACCTATGGTCTCATTTGTTCCCTACACCTAAATATCAAAGGAAGAAAAAAATCTCAGGCTTGGTTTATGGATCAGTAGGCTCAGTTTGTTGATGTAAGCTGGAAATGGATTGCTGCCATTCTACAGCCCTACTAAAGGATGGCCCCAAAGAACAGTGGGGGGAGGGGGGCAGGGAGTGGAGACCAGTAGGTAGATCTGTGAGCAGCACACTCGATCATTCACTATGATGGAGGAAGAAGTGGCCTGGGGTACACAGACTCCTAAATAGTGGCAAATGGGTGGCTGATAGGTCAAGGACCTGGAAGAGACAGAATAGGAAACAAACAGGCATATTGGAAACAGAGTTCTGAAGAAACAGCATGGAATGGGCACAAAGAGTATCTATCTTTGTGTCTGGTGTCAATGCACACCAGAAAGTATCTACAAAGTAGGCCCTCAACAACTTGGTACATGGGAGAACTGGTGCTAGCTGGTCTCTTTCTTGGCCACTCTACTGCTAACCAACAAGCCCATGAATGGAGTGCCTGTGGTAGTAGGGATAGAAGCCATAGATGGGCCCAACATAATGGACTCCCTCTCACCAAGGCTGTTCCTAGCTACTACACTGCTCAATTTTCAGCCTGTCAATAGCACAGACTAACATTAAGTCCTCTATATGGTACCACTCCACAAGGAAACCAGCCAGCCATCTGATGACAAATTAGTTACATTGCACTCCTCCTACTCTGGAGAAGGCAGCAATTTGCTCTTACTGGAATCAGTACCTCCTCTGGATATGTGTTTGTCTTCCCAGTTTACAAAGCCTCTACCAATACCACCATCACCACCATCAGAAGGATAGCAGAATGCCTGATTTACAAAATGTGATCCCACATAACATTGCCTCAGAATAAGGTACCCCTTTTATGGAAGAGTGCATGTGATTGGTTCTACATATACTGTCATGCCCAAAAAGCCATTCTAACAGAATGATGGAATGGCCTATTACAGGCTCAGTTGAAATGCCTGCTCAGATACAACTGAGCAAGTTGAGGCACTGACCTCCAGGATGCAAGTTTTATACTAAATCTATAGCTAATAAGTTGCTTTGTCCCCAAGAGCTAAAATATGTGGGTCCATAAACCAAAATGTAGAAAGAGTGCCCCCTCCACCACAACTCCCAGAGATGTACTTGCAGAATATGTGCTTTCCATCCCCACAATTGTAGGTTCTGTAAGGTCCTGGTTCCCAAGAGGGGAACCAAGAGGGTATTTCATTCACCTAAGGGAGCACAATAATCATAACTGGTGCATGATCATTTCGGACTCCTCATGCCAATGGGCCAATAGGCAAAAAAATTTAAAAGTAAAAAGAGAGTTTCTATAGGCAGTGGATTATGGATGGCCACAAATTACAGGTGGTCACTGCCTCCACCAAGTTTCCTCCACCCTTAAATCAGGGCTGTGCCTGTGACTGCTTTAAATAAGAGAATACATTGGAGATGATGCTAAGTCGGTTCCTTATATAGCCTTCAAGAAGTTCCCCATTTCCTTAGAGTTCCTCTTTAGTTACCTGTCCATCTGAGCTTATTGGCTGACAAACACACAGGCTGTGGTATCTCTTAGACAGGATTGTCAATCCCGTTTCCCAAAGGCCTCCTGAGATATATTTCATTGGCATCCACCTCCCTGGAGTGTGACTGTCTTGTTCCTATCATTATCATTTCTTCGTATGACACAGCAACTCTAGCACAAACCCTGATGTTCAACATGTCTTCAGAGTATAGTTATTAGCAGAAGAGGTCTCTGCTACTGAGAACAGTGAAGGAAGGCATTCTCCTATGGGACACCATCACTAGCCTCCCAGGGGACAGAAAAACACCTTTGTTGATAATACCTGACTTTGAGTCAAGTAAGATGTCAGGAGCAGCAGCCCGGGGAGTGGTTACTTACTGTCTGCCAGTCCCAAGTCAGGACTGACATAGGCAGCCTGGCCTGTTTCTGTTGCTGACGTGTCACTTGAAATAGCTATGCTGATAAGCAAGGTAATTGTAAATATTTATGTTTTCATATTACATACCTTGGGAAATGATTTGCATGAAAGGGTCCTTAAATACCAAATAAAAAATTACCATCAAGCTCTAGTTGATACCAAATGACTGCTTTTATGGCAATTAATGTCCCACTTTGGAGCAGTCTTGTTATTGTCATTGTTTTTATTATTAAAACAAAATATACAACAGCAAAGCTGCAATTCGTGAAAGAATAATTGATAAGCTGGACTTCATTAAAATTAAAAGCTCCTGCTCTGTGAAAGAAACTGTCAAAAGAATGAGAGGACAAGACACAGACTGGGAGAAAACATTGCAAAAGAGATACCTGTTATATTTTGGACTGTTACGCAAAATATAGAAAACACTCTTAAAAGTAGTAAGAAAATTAACAACCTGATTTAAAAAACAGGCAAAAAAGCTTAACAGACACCTCACCGAAGAAGTTATGCTGATGGTAAATAAGCATGTGAAAACATGTTCAACAATCATATGTAATTAGGGAAACTGCAAATTAAAACAACATACAACTACACACCTATTAAAATGACCAAAATCCAAAACAATGATAACACCAAACCCCGGTGAGGATGTGGAGCACCAGGAACTCTCATCCATTGTTGGTGGGAATACAAAATTGTACAGCCACTTTGGAAGAGAGTTGGGCAATTTCTTACTAAACGAGCCATACTCTTATCATGGGATCCAGCAATCATTGTCCTTGGTATGTACCCAAAGAAGTTGAAAACAATGTCTGTACAAAAACCTGCACATGGATGT